GGGTCGGTGCTGCTCCAGCGCCGCCGCGAAACGGCGAAGGATCCAGAGAGCCGCGGGTGGCGGCGTTCGCGGGCTTGCCGGGGGCGGAGGCGGCGGAGATGCTGGGGCCGTGGAAGACAATGCCTCATCCTCGATCTTCACGCCGGTGGCAGTGTTGAGGTCGGGGACGGTGGCGACGGGTTCGTTGGTCTTCGCCGGTGTGGTTGGCTCCTGCTTCACAACGGAGTTGAGCCACTGCTCCTCCTCTTCGTTCGGTGTCGCCTCCCAGTCCATCATGGCGGGCACAGGGCCATAGCCTGGAGGGGCGAAGTGCTCCTCGTCTTCGTCGACGGGCGTCGACGTAGGGAGGTCCGGGTAGGTGAGCGGCTCGTCGATAACCTCCGGTTCCGATGGTGGAGTGGCCGGCGGTGGAGGGCACGACCCATACCCGTGCACGGGGCAGAAATCGCGGGCAGGGCAAGGGCCGAATCCGTGCACCGGATAGAAGGCCACGCCTGCGTCCATGCCATTGCCGAAGAAGATCCCCGGCGGTGGCGGGGCTTGGGCAGTGTCGAAGAACTCCTCCTTGCCCAGGAACGGGGCTGCAGCCTCGGCATGAGCCCAGTCCATTGGCGGAGCGACGAAGGCCGGCATCGGGGGTGCCTGGTAGGTGTGGTGGACGGCGACGGATGGGTTGCTTGGTCCTGCCTGCTCTGCGGCGGCGGGGCCAGGGTGATCATGACGACCACATCGACCACGGCGACCACGGCGGCCGTTGCCTGGGCCCCAATGGCGAGGAACACCAGCATTGTGGCGTCTGGCAGATCAACGAATCTCCCGTCCAATTAATCGAACAAGGGCACAGGCGATTCTATGCAGGTTCATCCCTGCCATCTTACCTTCTCGTCCCGTCCTTTTCGTGCTCTGTTGGTCGAGGCTAGCGTGCTGATAACGTGTAAGAGTTTGTGAGAAACTGTGTTTCTTGATTCTGGGCAAAGCCCTATTTATACAAGGATTTGGGGTGCCTCCGGAGAGGCGTCCGTTTACAATAGGCGCCTGTGGCGCGAGAAGACGCCCGTACGGACGTTCGCGTCCGTAGGGCCCTTTGGACACACGTACGACTCTTAGCACTAATGACGTCGCTTTATTCTTAACACCTACGTCGGTTCTAGAACATGGGCCGCCGGAAGATCGTGACTTGTGATTCATACGGGCATGCGCGACACGCATAAAAGTTGCTCACGTGGCACTATCGCCCAAGATGTGGCCAAACCGCTGAGGTGGCGTCAGGTGGATGGTTGCATGTTGATTAGTGATGTGGATAGCCTGCATGCCATGCGAAATAAGATAGTGGGGATGAACTATTTAGTTATTATAGATTATAGATATGTTTTTTCCTTCGTATGTCTATCTATACCTCTGCACCCACTAATAAAGTGAGAAGAGTTTATGTCCATCCGTCGAATGTTTTGTAGAAACCCCTAACATTTCTACTAACTAACCTGCAGTCCATCTTTAAGCCATAGAAAAAAAAAACTTTTTTGCATTTTTTCAGAAACCCTACAGTTTTTTGGTAATTAATCCGCAATCCCCTTTAAGTATTTTAGTATTTTTACACAAAAATCCTTTATATTTGGCTTACTCAACCCGCAATTGTTCTAGAACAAATACTTAAAAAATATGTCCATATCTTTTAAATCTTAACTTCAATTTTAACATGTTATATGTGGAATTTGAATAGAATATGTAGAATCTGAATATGATATTATTTTACCCGTTAATTACTTTTAAAATAATATTTAGGATGCAAAATTAATCTATAGCACATAATCCGTCTTTCTTTCGTACTGGTGCCAATCTGGATTGCAAATGAATACCTCAGTAAAAAAAATTGGGGATGAAAGAAACCATCATAACCACACATGCACGCCTCGGCAAAACCTCACGGGAAAAAACTACAAAATTTCCATCTTATGCCCAGAGAGAGAGACCTTAGGATTTCCCATATTAAAACATGGTGTAGTTGTGTGAGAATGGAGGCCACTGTCAGCGAGGGTGAAAAGAAGGATGACCAGTAACATAGATGAGATGTCATGTTCAAATAAAGGACGTAGACCTATTGAGATCTTGAGTCATGATTATTGTGTTAAAGGCGTTTGGTAAAAAAAAATCTTTTGTTGCAACGCACAAAACTCTTTTGCTAGTACTCCCTCCGTTCCAAAATAGATGACTCAACTTTGTTCTAACTTTAGTACAAAGTAGGGTCATCTATTCTGAAACAGATGGAGTACCTAATAATAACAAAAGATCGTTGAGTTTCTCCGATTTCTTTGTCCATCATGTAAGTTATATAAATATCATCCCGTAAGTTACATTCATATTGGTTTATTTTCCTTCTGATCTGAGCATCGGATATGCGCTAGCGCTTCATGGGTCTGCGACATCTCATTTTTTATTTGGGCATGCTCCGCATTATTTCCGGTCGACGGTGAGTAGTGAAAAAAGCATGCTCGTGCGGGGATCAAACTCTGGACCTCCTCCCCCAGTCCCGGTGGCTATAGCCAATTGAGTCAGATTAGGATTGTGCTACAACGCAAGATTCATGATCAAATTAAATAGTCCCATCTCGCTCATTTAAACCAAACCACATCAATTTTTATACGCCAGGTATCAGTAAACTGGCTCCGGAATCAATAAACATAGACGAAGGTTGGGTCCCATAGAGAGAAAACGTGGGAAGAGAATTATGAAGGCTATGTTGGGAAAAGTGGTAAAAAGATCAGCCTACGATCAAGATTCTAGATCGAATTTGAAGTCCCTCAAACTGTCCCATGAGCAAGATCCCTACAGCTTACTCCGAGGGCGGCGGAGAGGAGCAGCGGTTTTTTTTTTCTTTTTGCGGCGACGGCGATCCGCCCGTGTCGCCCGCACTCGAGCGACGCGGGGATGTACCGAGGGACGCGGGGCTCTGATCTCTCGTGTCTCTTCTTCTTAATGAAAAACCAGAGCTCTTGCCGGTTTCTAAAATAAATTAAATATGGACATGGATTTTTTGTCAACTTCAGGATTCTAAATTTTTAACCCGAGGAATCATGCCGAGTTAATTGCAGAAGAATAAGTATGTGACGCTGCAACCCGAACGAGGTCCAGCGCTCCCTTCTCGTTGAGCTTGTTGCTCTGCTGGTGTTCCATGTAGTCCCTGTACTTGACCCCCCTGAACTCCAGGCCCAGGGGTGCCACGGCCAGCTCCGGCACTGGCTCGATGACGGCGTCCAGGCACGGCCCGATGAGGCTCACGCACGACATCCTCGCCTGCGCGCGGTCGACCAGTGCACGGTGGAGCACGCCCTTGTACCTTCCATTGCTCACAATCTGCATGCCATTCACCGACGTGTAAGAGTAACACACGAACCAGCACAGCAGGTTCAGATTTTTCTTGTCGTCTATACATACTAGTAGATCACAAGAGACAAAGAGTCGATCGGTTGGTCACCTCCAGCTGATCGCCGGCGATGACGAAGAATGAGCCGGGGATGGGCTTGGCGAGGAGCCACCGGCCGTCGTGCTTGACCTGGAGGCCATCGACGCCGTTCTGGAAGAGCAGGGTGAGGAGGCCGTGGTCGGAGTGAGCCGGCAGCCCGATCGCCCCGTCGTCGTCGTCCGAGTCAGCAGCGCACGGCGGGTAGTGGTTGCCGACGAGGATCTGGAAGCAGGACCCAGGTCGAGGCGCTCAGCGATGCGGCCGACGTGGAGCCCCAGGCTCTCGGAGATGGCCGCCGTGAGCTCCAGCAGCAGGCCCCTCGTGCGCGCCGCGTACTCCGCGGCCACGCCCCGCAGGCTGTCGGGCTTGGCGGGGCAGTGGAGCTCAGGGTGCGCGAACATCTTCACGTAGTCCCGCCAGTACCTGGCGCCGTCGACGGCGGAGTTGAAGCCCGTGCCGACGCGCACGGGGTCCATGGGGCCGGCGTCCGTGTGCTCCTGCTTCTGCTCTGGCGGTAGGCTGAACAGCTCACTGCACGCATCCATTAGCGCGCTCTGGAGAGCCTCGGGCACCCCATGGTTGGTCACCTTCATCATGGATTTGTCATTTTATCCAGACTTGAGGATCGATCTATGTACGTTTAGCGTTTGAGTAGTAATAGTATAATCGTACCATGAAGAAGCCCCAGTCTTGGCACGCCCGGCCGAGGTGCCGGACCGCCTGCGACCGTTCCCCAGCGTCGCCGTTGACGAGGACGGCCAAGTCGACGACGGGGATGGCGTCCTCACTGCACGTCCCGCTCGGTTGGCCAGGGGAGCTCGGAGGAGAGGCCATGTGCCGCGGAGGCGTAGCAGAGGAAAGATCTGTGGTGGTTTGCCGTGGCTTAATTTGCTGGCACAGTGTCTGTACGTCGTCCACGCATGGTTCCGTGCTGGACATGCCAAGTTTTAGCTGGTTTTAATTGGCTCTTCTCCAGATATTTTCGAGTGAAGACAAGCACGTACAACTCTTTCCACGCCGAGATAGATAGCAATATAGCATACGGTACACGTTAATGTCATTGCGACATTGATGGTTCTGGACTTCCAGGGACTTGATGTCACATTCCTCAAAAGAAATTCATCTAGTATATATCTACGCGCACAGTGGCGGAGCTTTGTGGAGAGCAACCCATGAGAAAGTTAGCAAATATCCCCTAGTATTCAGTTCATATGTCGAGTTAAAATCAGCCTAAAAGCATGTTTCTTACCCCTCCAGCCCATTTGTCCCTCCATAAATTCGGCCCAAGCTCCGCCCCTGCACGCGCACACTAGCTATGGCGAGTTTCCAAACAACTGGAGTATATAGCCTGGCAACAGATTCTGAATAATTGCAAGGAATCAAACAGTACATCCACATTAATTTGGTGTCGATTTGGATCTCCTTCCGGTCCATAAAAGAGAAGCGAGGCTGCAAGCAAGCAGCTCATCCGAGATGAATAGGTCGTACGTACCATAGGATGCACTTCCACAACTTCCGCATGGTAGGCTTCAGAGGCATCGGGAGCTCCTGCATTACATTATGATAGTACCGTTCTGGCGAAGCCACTTCATGACTAATCCCTATACTCTAAAGACATGGTGATGTCCCGATTACAGACATGCAAAGACAATATGCCAATGGCTTCCTGGCATTAAGCACCAAAACGACTTGCATGTCAATAGAAGTTAGAAGCTCTTGCCTCAACAGTTGGATAGGCGACGAAATATGGAGCCAAAAGGTTCTGAGATGAAGTGGATCCTAGAGACATATGCTTGTATGATGTTTCTGACGATGATGGACCAACTAATTAAGGTAGAGTAAGAAATGTTATTTTAGGGACTCGTACGATGATTCCCAAGAGACATGTTCAGAATTTTCACTCGGTCAGTTGATGAATTGCTGAGGTAAGGATCCTAGTCACCCCCAAGAGGAACAACCATTAGCTCTGTTCCTCCTAATGTGTCTAGATTGTTTTTTTATAAAAACTATGTAATCCTTTGCAAGTTACCTACTTTATTAGTAGTATCTCTTTGGCTATGTGATTTTTTTTAATTTGCAGGTGGTTTGGCTATGTGATTTTGATATTCATTTCAACGGCACACCGATATGGAGCATATGATGGTTGGCCGCATGTTCCTAGTTTCACGTAGCCTGCTACTTTCGCTTTTGGCATCAGACAACAACTCTGTTTCAGATATTATAGTTGCTCCTATATCATTTTTTACAATGTCAGGAGCGATTCCTTTTTATTAAGAGAAACAGAGGTTTATATGTATAAGGAGGCTTGCTTCGGTACCCCTCCTCACCGCTTAACGTATAAGGGTATTTTGGGCATACGGTGCTTAACGTATCCCGCGCCATATGCGTCGTGCCCATATAGGTAGAGCCGAGCACATGGCTCGAGCCGATCCCCCTTCCGTCGCGCGAAAAAAGACCCACGACCTAGCGTTGATCATGCGGCCCATTCCAATGTCGCCCCGTCCGGCCGATCGCCGCCCTTCCCCGCCGATCGCCGCCTTTCCCCGCGATCATGGCGCACGGGGTCCATCGGGCCGACATCCATGTGCACCTGCTTCTGCTCCGGCGGTAGGGTGAGCAGCTTCTTGCACGCGTCCATCATCGCCCTCCAGAGAGCCTCGGGCACCCCATGGTTGGTCACCTTCATCATGGGTTTATCCAGACTTGAGAATCGATCTATAGATGTTTAGCGTTTGGGTCGTACGTAAGTAATAGCAATCGTACCAGGAAGAAGCCCCAGTCTTGGCACGCCTGGCCGAGGTGCCGGACCGCCTGCGACCGTTCGCCGGTGTCGCCGTTGTGGAGGACGGCGAAAACGACGACGGGGATGCCGTCCTCACTGCACGGTCCGCTCGATTGGCCAGGGGAGCGAGGAGGAGAGGCCATGATTGTGCCGTGGAGGCATAGCAGAGGAAAGATCTGTGGCGGTCATGCGCAGGTGGTTGACGTGGCTTAATTTGCCGGTCCACTGTCTGTACGTCGTACAATGGTTCCGTGCTGGACATGCAAGTCCTGCTCGTTTGGCTCTTCCTCAAGATATTTTTCGGGTGCGATCATGTCTGGCTATCGGTTAGCGCCACTGTTCACGGCACTTGCGATGTGAGTGAAGACGAAAGCAATATAGCATACGTACAGGTTATATTAATGTCATTGCGCCATTGATTGTTCTGGAGTTCCAGGAACTTGATGTCACCCTCCTTAAAGAAATTCATGCACTACGTAGTATATATCCATGCGCACACTATCTACGGTGAGTTTCAAAACAACTGAAGTAATTGCAAGGAATCAAATTGTGGATCCCAATTGATTTGATGTCGGTTTGGATCTCTTTTTAATCCATATAAGAGAAGCGAGGCCGGTGAAATATCTAGATGGCTGCACTGCAAGCAAGCGGCTCAGAGACGAATAGTTCGTATGATAGGATGCACTCCTATAACTTTGGCATGGTAGGCTTAAGAGGCATCGGGAGCTTAGGCATCACAATATCAAAGCAATATGGAACGCGAGAGACGCTTGTGTCTTCCGCCGTAAGAGTACACCATCGCCAATCCTTCGAAATGCAATCGTTGACGAGGCTAAGTTTTGGGTTACCACCAATGAAAAACAACTAGGGCTTATTGTATTGTGCGAGTAGTTGGCATGCCTTTCTTTTTTTTTCATTGAGGGCTTTGTAACAATCCTTATTTAACGAATGAGGCAAATCTTTTACTTGCGTTTTGAAAAATAATAATATCAAAGCAATATTTTCACCCAGCCACTTCATGATTAATCCCTATACTCTATAGATATAGTGATGTACAGTATCAATTACAACATGTAAGGGTATCTTTAATAGCAACCCGCAAAAAATCTTCCGCATCCGTCCGCGGGCAGGAGGACCAGTCTGCGGACATGGATGCGGGAGGCAGCCATCCAACGCTAACCGCATATATTTCAAACTATTTTTCAACAAACCGAATGAAATTCATGCAAACACGGGCGGATTTCGTACGAACATTACAGATTTCATACAAACATGACAGATTTAACTACAATTAGAACAAAAAGAGACCCGCCCTAAACCTATCCTACGGCGGTGGCGCCCAGCGTCCAAACCCGTGTCGTCCTCCTTCTACCGTCTTCATGAACACTGGCGATAAGACTGATAAAGTGAAGATACGGTCTTCGTGCGATGAAGTGAAGCCCGTACCGACGCAGACGGGGTCCATTGGGGCGGCGTCCATGTGCTCCTGGTTCTGCTCTGGCGGTAGGCTGAACAGCTCCTTGCAAGCGTCCATCATCGTGCTCTGGAGAGCCTCGGGCACCCCATGGTTGATCACCTTCATCATGGATCTTATATTTATTATCCAGACTTGAGAATCGATCTATACGTGTTTAGCGTTTGGGTCGTACATACAATGAAGAAGCCCCAGTCTTGGCATGCCCGGCCGAGGTGCCGGATCGCCTGCGACCGTTCCCCGGCTTCGTCGTTGAGGAAGACAGCCTAGTCGATGATGGGGATGCCGTCCTCACTGCACGCTCCATTGGGTTGGCCAGGGGAGCTAGGAGGAGTGTAGAAGATTAAGCAACTCACGATATATTGATCGGGTGCAATACGCACGTATATATAAATACAAAGAGTAGTCAAGTCCTCAACTATACATGGAAGGAGGAGGGCTTGTTGTACAAGAAATACACATATGTATCTACATCTCAACACCCCCCGCAGTCTAAGCGGCACCATGGTCGACTCAAAGACTGGATCGGAACTCCTCGAAAGACGCAGTAGACAGGCCCTTTGTCATGATGTCAGCAAATTGTTGGGACGTAGGGACATGGAGCACGCGCACATGACCAAGAGCTACTTGTTCCCGAACAAAATGGATATCAATCGCAATGTGCTTGGTGCATCGATGATGAACTGGGTTGGCGGAGAGGTAGACCGCAGAAACATTGTCACAGTAGACAATTGTGGCCTTGTCAACCGGAGACAAGAGCTCATGCAGAAGCTGATGAAACCAGGAACACTCGGCGACGACGTTGGCAACGGCGTGGTACTCCGCTTCTGCACTGGAGCGGGAAACAACGGGCTGCCGCTTGGACGACCATGAGATGAGTGATGGTCCAAGATAGACGCAATAACCAGAGGTCGAGCGGCGCATGCAGTAGTCGTCGACGGAGGAGTCGTTTTGGTGACACCCGAAAAACTCCTGCTGTAGAAAGACGATCCGTTGGAGCTTGTTGTCGGTGAAGAGGCCAACGATCTTGTTCCACACCGTGCATGCATCGTCCTTGTCGCAAACGATGGTGTGGAAGATGTCCTTGGACACTGTGAGGAAGAGCCACCAGATGATGGTGGCGTTGATCGCCAGCCAGTCGGCGTCGCGGTTCAGGACGAAGAGGTTGGCGGTGCCGTCGATGTGATCCTGCAGGTTGTACTCACGAAAGAGGAGACTGAAATATGTCTTCCAGGCATAAAAGTTCGCCTCTTTGTGGGAGAGGATGACCGGAACGCGACGTTCGATGGGAACATCGCGGATTTAGGCAGGGTCGGGCAGGGTGGCAGCGGAGGAGCCGGCGGAGGAGTCGAAGGGATTCGGCGGACAGACGGCCGGAGGAGTGGAGGCGGCAGAGCGGTGGGAGAGATCAGAACCGGACATAGCTGCTGGTTCGGTTTCGGCTGGGTAGGGTTAGGGTTTCGGCGGCAAGCGGCGGGTGGAAGCAGCGGGGCAAGGGCGATCGCGAGTGCGTGCGAGTGCGTTCGGGGCGAGACAAAAGCAGCGGGCAGGCGAGCGGATTGGCGAGGCGTACGAGGCGAGCGGAAGCAGTGGGATCGGGAGGCGAGGCTAGCTACGACGGCGGCGAATAATCTGCGACGCGGGCGTAGCGAAGGGTTTAGCGGCGGCGGCTCGGAAGCAACGGCGACGCAGCTAGGGCAGGAATCGGGGGTAGGCTGATACAATGTAGAAGATTAAGCAACTCACGATATGTTGATCGGATGCAATACACACGTATATATAAGTACAAAGGGTAGCCACGTCCTCAACTATACATGGAAGGAGGAGGGCCTGTTGTACAAGAAATACACATATGTATCTACATCTCAACAAGGAGAGGCCATGATTGTGCAGTGGAGGCATGGCAGAGTGGAGATCTGTGGCGGTCATGCAGGTGGCTGCCGTGGCTGTGTTTGGCTGAGCTTTTACAGCCAACTTCTGGCTTTTCACAGCTATAAGCTAACCAAACGGGAAAAATGAGAAGCAGAAGTTGTAAAAGTTGTAGCTTCTTCGTGGTGCAATTCTTGCAGCGGGTGAACCCCAACTTCAGACATGCGTTTTTAGCTGTCCCCTGAAAGTTGCATCCTATTTACCCATCACTGCCACTCCCAAGTGAATACCGGTTCGATCTCTGTCTCACGGACGAAGAAAACGCACGGAGAGCCGCCTGACGCACGAAGGAGCCACCGCACCTCGTGCTAGGGTTGGTCACCGCCGCCCGCTCCAGCA